CTTGAAGGAGGGATGGTAAGTTTTGGCGTTTCCTAGGTGCATTATGTACTGTATGCATGGCTGGAGCCTCAAAACTCAATCAGTGTGTTCCTACCAAATGTGTTCCTGTAACACTGCTCATGAAAGTGCCCTGCTTTCTTATTTTGAAATTGTTTCTCTGGCCCCACTTTCACACCAAAATACCTGCTGGTCCTACTCAGAATCAAATGTCCTGAAATGCCCTGTCCTCACGTCCTTGTCTTCCTGCAGGTATGTAGGCTATGTCCAGATAAAGCTGCTCAGAGCTGGAGGGCAGTGACCGGTTACTAGCTTATCCACTGTTCCCTACTTGCTATAGGCAAATGTTGCTTGTTGGACTTCAGAAAAAGTCTGCTTGTGCCAGACATTCTCAGTCTCACCACAGACCTGCATGTTGCCTGTTGTACAACCCAGGAGAGGGAATGGGTCTGGCTGGCTGGGATAGAGCCCCTGATGGGAATGTACCTGGAGGCTCCCACATTACAGTTAGCAATCAAAGTGGAGGATGGACTTGTAGCAGCAGAACTAGCTAACAAAGTGGTATTTGCCAGGGTAACTAGATAGGTGGATGGATGGAGGGATGAACCAGCATCCCATCTCCCTGTAAACTTCCGTATGTCTGCTGTGCTTGCTGATGGGAACACAAGGCACAGCAAATATCCCTTGTCCAGATCTAAGAAAGGAGATGATGTACTCAGCTCCTACAGATTTCACAGGACCAGGAGCCTCAAAGGCTCTGTAAGTTACAGAATCTGCACTTTGTGGCAGCTTTTGCTGCAGGAGATCTTTTATGCAACCCAATGGCATGTGAGTCTCAGATGCTGCAGTGAGCAGAAGCTCCTTCAGCAGGTCCACATGAAACAACAAATGAGATCTCCTTGGATTTTCTTTCTCTACCAGTATGGCCACAAGCACCCATTTTCTGCATTTCCCAGGGTTACCAAGAGTATTCAGTAACACACTGGCAGCACTGAAACTGTCTATACCTTCTCTTTTAGTTTCTTGTCTTTCACTTAGGGTGAATGCCTCAGTGAAAGTGCCCCAGATCCAATAGAGTCATGTGGCTCAGGCTTTTTTTGCTGTTATTGCTGCTTTCAAGTGGAAAATTGATATAATAGCAGTTCTTTCTCAACACACAGCAGTCTGCACATTTGTACAATGTTCTTTGAGGACGATCAGCATCCACTGGCATAGAAAAGTGACAGATGCTGTCTGCAAATAATGAGCTGAAGCCGTTTCCTTTAGAAGGGAACTTAAGCAAAGTCCCTTTGAGTCTGAAAAGCCAGTGAGGTTCCAATGTGGCATCAGAAGCTGCTCGTAAGCCTCTGCCGGAACGGACATATTCTGTTAGCTCATATGGCATAATTATGTTTAACTGTTTCTCTTATACAGACTCCTCTGGAGAGAGGAAACAACCAATTACTTATTTACTGAGTATTTTCTACCAGGGACAAGCATGAGAAAGAATGAAGCTTATGGCTTCTTATTTTGATCCCTGCAGTGATCCAAATATCATCTGCATGAGTTACAGTGTCAAGGTGCAGCTGTACGATGCCTAACCACGTGGTACATTTATTACGTGCCTTTGTGATCCTCATCTTTGCTCTTTCCATCTCACACGAAAATCATTTTAATCATCTAGGCCATTAAGGAGTCTCACACTTGTGACACTGAAAGAAGACCACAGAGATATTCCCTCCTGAGACATTGATTCTGTCTCTGCTTAGTGTTTTCCTCTAATGCAGACACTGCCATGTGCCAGGGGCAGCTTTTCCAGATGTAGCAGTATCAGGTATTGGAAGTCATCCCATTACTTCCTAGTGCTACAAGGAGTAAGTCCAAATTACTCAAAAAAACGAAGGACTCAAAGCTTCACAGACAGACATTTTCAAAACGTGTTAGTGAAACAGATGCACAGATTTCCTTTAAGTCTGAAAATCCACTTTCTTTCGATCATAAAGCACACATTTCAGAATTTCATAATTTGTGGTATTGCCATAGTCCCGAATCCTGATAGCAGAATCAGATATTTTGCTCTGTGAGCCTTTAGCTCTTGAGGTCTCAGAAAGAGAGAGACAGTACTTGTAGTACCAAGCGCTTTCCGTGTTTATGTAAATAACTGAAATTACCAAAAGTTACCAAATGCCTGGGGTTTCTTCACAGCAAAGCTAGCTCTTGATTTGCTATCAGTCTCATTAGAGGGTTTGGAAAAATCCATAAGAATTGATTTTCTTCTAGCATGACCTGTTCTCATGAGCTCCTTTACTAGTGGAAGTCCAAGCAAATCCAAAGTATGAAGCTGTACTTTACCACACATTAGATGGTATGAATAATGGAAGCTGCATTGCACAGCACGTTAAATCAGCACACAAACATATCAAAATAATGAGATACCATCCTTTAAGGAAGGAAGTAGAGCTAAGCCACAATCTCAGTCTTAATTCTCATTTTCTAAAGTATAGAATCATAGATTTTAGGTTGGAAAAGATCATCAAGTCCAACTGTTAACTTTTTATTTCTAAAAGTATAATTTCCAAAACTTCCTGTGGTATTTCTCCCAGGATTCATCTTGTGGCATTTCTCCCTGGATTCATTTTACCTCTTTACCTTTCATCTCTCTACGCTTTTCTTTCTGAGCATCTATCGATGAAAAACATGTGGCCTCATTTAGAAATGTGTAATGTTATGGTAAATTAATCAATACCAACATTGTTCATAGATTCTATAGATAAAACATTTTTTTTTTTTTTTAAAAAAAGGAATCGTGTATTCTCTTAGAATAGTAATTCCCTCTGCACTACGGCTCAGTAGATGACCTGATCCTACAGACAGCAATAGCAGTGGGTTTGAGCAGTTGTAAAGAGCAAGTACTTTTGATCTGTGAATGAATGCAGAGGTGTGTAAGGCACTAGCAAACTACAGAACTGCCCTTCCTGTCTGCTGCCTCTCCTGGCTTCCCCCTTCTCCTGAAATCCCCAATGACTGCTGCAGAATCCATCTGTAGCACTGAGACTGGTCACTGATAAATGACAAATCAAATGAGAGCTCTGCTCACAGAACATTGTATTAACATGAGCTGCAGTCTGGTTGCATTTAAAATCTTCCAGCTCTGGACCTGAATGCTGAACATCCTTTTTATTCAGATTTGGGTGGTTGTTTTTTGTTAGTTTGAGTTCTGCATTGTTCAATGAACTGTACCCTGTGAGTCGGAAAACCCTGTCATAAAAAGGATAATCATAAAGTGATAGGAAAGGACAATAATACTGCAGAGCCTAAAAGGAAAAATATCCCCACTCCCAGACAGACACACCAGGTAAAATTCATCTTGCTGCCCCAGCTGTTGGGTAGTTAGTTGCTTGAGCTGGGTAGGCAGCCTGTATGGTTGATGGGGAAAAATGAGCACTTCCGAGACAGAAATAATGCCATCCTGGGTCTAGCGTTGCTGAGGTGAAAACACTGTCTCATTCAATAGAGACGCAGCTGTGAGCACTAAGGAATTGGCAAGTAAATACAAAAGAAAAAAAAAAAAAGGAAAGAAATGACCATAACAAGGTGAGGTTTCACCTGGCATCACATAGAAGTGCTGGAATGGAGACAGACTCCAGGTCTTGAGAACAGCATCCAGCTCCTTAAATATAAAGCTATTTTCCTCTCCCTGCAATCTCTGTTATTATCCTCCTTCATTTTTTTGTCACAAATGAAAAAGATATCTCATAGCCACAGCTAACCCTAAAACCACAAGGACAGAGAAGGGCATACAAGAAAAGGGTATTTTGTGCCCACAGAGTCAGACAATGCCTTCCAGAGCAGCTGTGTGGAGTCCTTAGGACCTGGACACACAGGTCATACGTTTTCCCTAGAAGAAAACCATATGAACCCATTTGAGAATAGAATCAGGCTGATGCAGAGCCAGGAGCCTGTTCAACATTTATTTTGGTGGTAGAAAGGAGCAGAAACTTTGGTTAAGGTTTCGAGGAGGTCAGCAGGGCATGGGTAACCAGCTACAAGGCACCCTTGCAGGCAGACAGCCAGATCAAAATCCTGGAGGAGAATTCTGCTGCTGCAGATGGAAGGTCAAAGGAGGAGCTGCAGAAGCCTGTGGAGCTCTGAGAAAAGGCTCTGAGGACATGGCAGGGGATGAGGGCTTAGCCACAGCCTTTGGCATGGAGAATGTGACACAGTGCATTGTCTTGTTTTGTTGTTATCTCTATTTTTATGTTTCTAAAGAAAAGCTTGGGGACCAGGCAGCAGCAGTGTTGTCACGGGAAGCATGACTTTCCTTCTCCATCTCTGCACAGTTTCACAGATGTATGAGCAAAAGGGAACCTTGGGAAGGTGCTTCCCATGGGAAAAGCTGGTGAGCCCCCTCTGGGGGCTGGCTCTCCCTGCACTGCCCTTCCTCCTTGGGGCTGTGGCACTGAGAGAGAGGGGCTTGGTGCTTTCAGCCACCAGCAGGCCGAGGACCTCCTTTCTGGTGGGTCTCCAAGTGGACATATCCTGCTGCTGCCCCCCATCCCTCCTCCCCCCGTTAAGGTGCCTCTCAGACTCTTAAATCGGTTCCCAGAGGACCATCCGTGCTCAGGGACAATTTGAGGTCACCGCCTCCATCTGCAAAGATCTGGCTTCCAGATTTGGGGAGGTGGATGGGTCACAGGCCCAGGAGTATCCCCAAGGGCTCCTGGAGCAGGGAAGGGAGCTGGCGAGCTGGCAGTGAGCACCTAATGTGCAAACCCGAGGGCATTTGTGCTGAGACAAAAAACAGCATGAAGAGGCAGAGAAAATGGTGAGGGTTACATTGCCCAGCACCCCCAGCTCTCCAGCCAGCGCCCCTGCCCACACCGGCCTCAGCATTGCTCCGTGCCCACACGCTGCAGCCAGCCCCGTGCTGCTGCCTTCCCTGCCTGCAGCGCTTGCCCTGCCTGTGCAGAGGCCTCGTTCTGCCTAATTGCACGGAGAAGAACGAACGTGAAATGCTGTCTTACCTTGCGCACCACCTGCTTTGTTAGTCGTGCAGCAGAGCCCGAGGGAAGCAGAGGGTTTGGATGTTTGGGCCCTTCGGGCAGCTCTGGCGTCCTGATGCTCCCTGCAGCACTGCCACAGCTTCTCTGCCTCTGTGCAGCAGGTTTCAGGCACACAGCAAATGCGTTTGCTGGACAGAGTCCACCATCTAGAAAACACAGTCACCGTGAGCAACATCGGAGCAGCACAGGTGATGCTAGGACAAGCAGGGTTTCTCCCTAGGCATAAAACCCACCCGATCCAGGCTCCTTTGCTTGCTCCTCATTATCTTGTGTCTGACTGCAGCAGAGCCCTTGTAAGACTGCTGCCAGAACAGCTGGTTGCCAGCGATGTACGGAGTGATCGATATGTTTGGCTTTTCATGTTCATCCATCGTGTGAATCTGCTTTCATGCTTTCATTATGTGAACGAGGATTGAAGGCAGCTCTGAACTTTGCTCTCGTGCCATTTACTGCCTTTGGCCTGAATGCAGAGTCCACACAGCTTCCTGCTGCTCACCTGGCTCTCTACAAAGCAGGGTTAATTACTCCTACTCCTCCCCATCACCAAAAAATAAATAAAAGTGCCGGTTTTAGAATCTGAGAAATCTGCCCAGTGCAGCCGGGCAATCTCCTCCACAGACAGACAAGGCTCTGGAGTGAAAGCCAGAGGAAAAACAGAGCTCCCAGTTTGTTTACTACCTCCTGGCACACATCCATGCCCAGCTTTTTTTATACCACTTCCCCGGCTTTGCAGCCTGAAGAACAAGACGCAGCTTTGCCCTAGCTATCAACACACCGGTGGCTACCAGCAGCATTTCTTGCTGCTCCAGCAACAGCGTACCCAGGACCCTGCTGTGCTGAGATTTGTATCTGCATGTGTGCAGCTCATGGCTGTAAAGACAATTTGCAATCTGTAAATACAGCAGTGTGTATGTGTGTGTGTGTGTGTGTGTGTGTGGTGGGGTGGCTCAGAGACTTTATTTAATCCACGCAGCATTGCAAAAAGCGCTTTTATGGGTTTCTGAGCTATCATGGGGAGGAAAGCTGATGGCAGAGGGATATTTCTGAGCAGGGAAATCTGTGGAGGTTTCTGGATAATGGAAGGAGAGAAAGGCTGTTCTGGGGGTACTGATGGACAAGGACCAGTTTTACTAGATGTAGCCCAAGGACCAGAGCAAGCAGTGCTTTAGAAAAAGCCTTCAATCCCTGGGATGAGTAATTTTTCTTTAACCCTTTTCTCCTTTTGGCAGAAGGGAAAATACAATCCTAATGCTTTTTAACACTAGAATGCAGTTCTAAAAGGGTTTTAGGAACAATTAAAACAAACAAACAGACAAAAACCAAACCAAAACAAAACAAAAACTCCCAAATGTAAAGCCAGTTTCATTAAGGACCTGACTCTAGCCTTTCCCCAGAACAGGCAGTCTTGGGTACTGGTCCTGCTAGAAGTGTAACCTCCATCTAGCCACTGGTCAAGTTTTCCAGGCTTTCTACCATGTCCCCTTCAAACTGTCACCCAAAGGGTTTTTCCTGCTTTGAAGAAGCCTGCTTTCCCTTTGGAAGCATTAGAGGAATAATGGGGCTCCCACCTCTCCACCCTCCTCTCCACCTTCCTCTCTTTTGGTTCTCAGGGCTGCCCAGATGTCCATGCTGCCTGTGATGGTGCAGAAAGGGTCAGTGCCATCGGGTGACAGTCCCAAATGGCAAATGGTCCTCACTTCTGTGCCACATTCCCCAAATGTGAATGAGAAGTAGTAGAGGGAGGTTTTTTTGTACTACTCACATTAATTATTCCAAGTCAAGATGGCAAAGACACAGCATTTTATGGTGGACTTTTTAATTGGGTTGTGATTGAGGTTAACAACGTAACATTCAAATCAGTTACCATAATAAACAAAATAAAGAGTCAGGGGGCTGGAAGGAAACAAAGCTAATTAAAATAATCAGCTTGACTTTGATGGGAACTGGCCTGGATCCTGCAGCACGTGTCAAGGCTCAATGCTGTAAGCACCATCCACAGCCTGGCCGTGGGTGTGTGTTGCATTAGCAGGAACAGTGACAGAGCCAAAGCGCAGGAAGGCGCATTCACGTGTCAGCTTGCTTCTTGCACTGTTTTCATTCCTTTGCATTTCTTTCTTTACCAGGAACAAGGAAAAAATAACCCCGAAGCTCTTTTCAAAGAGTCTCAGACAGCATCTAAGTGATGTATCTGCTGTCTTGTAAGAGCAGCCTCCTAGCCAAGTTAGGTGGTCAAGTATGGCCAAAGACCATGCACCTGTTGCCCTCCAGAGCATCTTTGCAGTGACTTGGAGGTGACCCAGAGTGAAACTGCACATGGAATGGCCCATGGACATCTGCCTTCATCCATCCTGCCTGGCCTTGAAATCACAGAATCACAGAATGGCTCGGGTTGGAAGGGACCTCAAAGATCATCCAGTTCCAACCCCCTGCCACAGGCAGGGATGCCACCCACTAGATCAGGTTGGCCAAGGCCTTGTCCAACCTCATCTTGAACACCTCCAGGGATGGGGCATCCACAACCTCTCTGGGCAACCTGTTCCAGTGCCTCACCACCCTCTGAGTGAAGAATTTCTGCCTAACCTCTAATCTAAATCTCGCCTCTTTTAGTTTAAAAGCATTCCCCCTTGTCCTGTCATTGTCTGATGGAGCAAAAAGTTGCTCTCTATCTTTTTTATAAGCTCCCTCCTGCCCAACAGCAGCTGTAACATCCACTGAGGCCTTGGTAGTGTGCCTCGCCTTGACACCCATTATGAGGGCAATGTGGAGTTCTTTTTGACTAAGAACTAGTCAAAAAACATTAACATATTTATTAGTAATGCCCTAATTTGAAGGGATACTGAGTTCTCTTAGGTGTGAGTAGTTCTTAATTATAATGCAACAGGAAAATACATTAGGGAATAGAATCAAACTTTCAATTAATGTCATTTTTATCCAGGAACACTAGTTGAGTTTTTTTTTTCTCTTTTTTTGATCTCTTTTTTTTTTTTTTTTTTTTTTTTTTCCTGTAACAAGGATGTGAAAACATTTGCTAATTTCCAGCTATTATAGTAACTTCTATGAAATAATGTGATCTCCTATTTGCTTATAAGAAAACATTTTCTGTATTCACTCTGACTCTGAGCTGCTCTATGTGTATCAGTAAATTGAGATGCAGACTGCCTGCACATGTAAAGAGGAGTCTTTTCTTATGCAGAATAGCAACACATTTTACCAGTCCCATGGTGAACATCTAGCATTATTTCTGGGGTTTATTTAACGTAGTCGCTAATATCAGAGTGTGCATGAGTCTTAGCATTATGGCTGAGCAAAAAGCCAAGTGTTGTCTCTTGCTGACTGTTACACAAATATTTTGTTCAGTCTTCTTTGAAATGCTCACCTCACTTCTTGTTCCAAATATTTTACTTTCAATTTCATTTTCAGTCTCAAAGCAAAAAGTCCTTGAAATAAAAGAGTCTTTCAGGTGCCAGGCATGAATTGCGTATCATTGAAAATTAATTGAATCATCCACTTCCAGACTCACTTGGTGGTGGGCTTGGTTTTCTTTGTGATCTGTGAACATTTTGTTCAGTTTTGAAGTGTGTTTCTGCTCTGTTGCTTATATATCTAAGAGGACCATCCACTTCTATCCCTAACCTACATGCAACAGGAAACCTGATCTTTAGCTGCAAACAACCAACCCAGTGATGTTCTGTGTCTTTGTGCAAGCTCTGAATTGATGTCTTTTGATATAGATCAGGTAGATCAGCTTAATCTCACATCTCCAGTGTTAGCTTCTAGCTCTTCTGATGTGCTTCTCATGTAGCTATCTCAGTGGCCATTGACAGATGTCACAGGGAGGGTGCCCACTTGCTGGGAGTTCTCACCAGTCTCATGGAGTGGATATTTAAACCCTGTAGAAAGGATTGAAAAAGGATCTTAGGATCACTCTCTGCTCATGATTCTCCCATTGAATGAAAGAGCTGTGTTGAAGTTGTCCAAAATGATTTTGAAGAGGTAGGAAAACTGCGTTGTGCAAACCTATTTTAATAGAGAGAAATGGCAGTGGTCAGTAAAAACAGTCTGATAGACTGGGGTTAGGTAGAAGAGCAGTAAGAAAAATATTTCATTTTGTCAGTTTTGAAAAACGATCAAATTTTTCATTTGAAATATTTCAATCCTAGGTTAGTTTCAGTCTTCTGAAGAGAAAAATCCATAAGAGTTTCATTTGACCATAGCCATTTTTAATGTTTTTTATTTGTTTGTTTGTTCCTGATGGAAAATAAATAAATAAATAAATAAAATGACTGCAAACTAGTTTTCCTGATGATTTTTTCCTAAATTTCTCCAGTGATAAAAAAAAATAATAAAATCCACTGTTCAAAAATCCCTCTTCTTTAGACCCATTATTTTGGTGAGGAGGGTTGCCAGAGGTCATGTGATAAATGGGAAGAGAGTATGAATTTGAGGCAGCATCCCCGAAGGAAAGGCTCATGCTATAAACCAGGGACAAAGGTTTCTGTGAGAAACCTCTTTTTTTGAAGAAACCTCTTGATCTCTAAGCCTGGAGTTCAGCTGTCAGACTCATCACGGTTTCACACTGATGCCATTAGAATGAGCTCAGAACAGCAACAACCAGAATTGCTTTGACCTTGACAAAGTGTTCCTTGACCCAGTGGATAAAGAAAATGAAATGTCAGGGAGGAAATGTCACATCAGCCTTTGAGGAAGGTGATGCAGGAGGGATGGATAGGTTGCTGTGGGCACATCACTCCAAGCCCACACCTGTGTCCCGAGATATTGAGGTCCCTGGGACTGGGATGGTGCAGTCGCATCACTCCAAGGTCTTGGACCCTCAGGATGTGGTCACCCTGCAGGACTAGGGACAGAGGCTTGCCTTTCTCTCTCAGTGCCTTTCTCTTGCCCTTCATCTTATACCCAGCATCTCTTCCTCCTGAAGCTCCTCATGGAAGCCTGTTCCAGGGTTTTGTTCTTTTGATGGCTGAAAACTTCTTTCAATTTTCCAGTCTGAATTTATTCATGGTTAGTGTATACTTCTTGTTCTTGTGCCAAGTTTGTCTGTTAGATCTTCTCCCTCCCCAGCATTTTCCCTGCCCACGTTTATTTATAGAAAGTTGTTTTTTTTTTTTTTGTTTGTTTTGTTTTTTTCTCGGAGCCCTCTCAGTTCCAGCTTATTTTTCCAAAACCTGAATTTTGGACAATCGTCCAGTCTTCCTCTCTGTCTGTCATTTATGGTGGGGGACCTCATCTCTCCTTGGACTTCTGAGGTTCATTTATACAAGCCTGGGTCAGGAAGGAGTACGTCACAAGCTTGTTTTTCTTGGTGAGACTTAAAAGTGCCTTTCAGCTGTCTCTGAGCCCTATGTTTTTCTTGTCAGTTTAATATGCTTAGTAATAACACCTACCACTTTTATATGTCACACTCTGCACTCCTTAGACAACTACACATTGACTGGCAAAGCAACACAAAGAAATTGAATTTAACCAGAAAGGAGAAATGTTGCTTTCTTAAATAACCTTTGCCTCTTCCAGGTACTTTTGCAGGTCACAGGATTAGATGCCTTGGTGACTCACAGCTCTCCTGCCTGGCAATTATTAGTCTGTGGAGCTCAAAGCAATTACCAAAGCTTTAAACAAACCTTTTCTGGGTGCAGAAACCTCAGTGACACTATTAGCATCTTGCCAGTGAATCAGGAGTGAAAGTCTGCTGGAATTGCTGCTGGGGAATGCACAGTAAGGCTGGTAAAAATACCATTTGCTTGAAGTGGGAAAATATAAATAGATGTTTTAATATAACTCAATAATACATATCTTCAATGATACTTTACAGACAAGGAGGATAATATATTGTAATAATATAATAACAGTTCCTATGAAAAGAGTATTTTTGGATGAAAAGTGGGAAAAATCCTGTTTTGAGAACTGAAAAAATGTTTCAAGTTTTCAAAACATAAAACCTACTAGGAGGATGTTTCAAAAAGAATTCAGTTCTTCAAGGGAAATATTTGTTCCTTTTGAAAAGATGATTTCCCTTCAAAAACTATTTTTGGCGAGCCCTGTTCTGATGGCTCTATCTGAAAGAAAAGCCAAAGGGCACTTGAAATGAGGAACTGTGGCCGATCCCAAACACCACACAATCTATCAGAGTGTTTCCGTTTAAAGTGATCTTTGAATATGTTCCCAATGGTATTTAACGTTAAACTGCATCAGCTGCACATATAAATGGAGCTACATCTTTGACACATCCATAGCTGTACACTGTATCTCCTCAGCTTGGCATCTGTGGGACGCAGACCATATTTTCCTTGGTTTGGTAAGTGCAAGAGTCTTGAAAGCCTTGGGTTTTTGCTGGAAATGGAGGGTTGGGGAGAGTTTGGGATTCAGAGGGAACCTGAGCTGCAAACGTGGGGGCTTCCAGCACTAGAGCAGGAGAATGAGGTGAAAGCTCAGTCTTCACCAGTGTCACCCAGGAAGTCAGAGGAAGGGCTGAGAATACATCCTAGCTCTCTCCTCCCCACTAACTCAGCCAGCACTGGCTTGTATCAAAGGAGGTTATGATATTTGGGGTTTATCAGCCTAGAGAAGGGGAGGCTCTGTGGGAACCTTACTGCAGCCTTAAAGGGGACTTACTAGACAGACAGGAGGAGACTCTTTAACAAGGTATATGGTAATAGCACAGGGGGTAACTTTTTTAAACTAAAGAAGGGTAGATTTGGATTATACATGTATGTAAGGAAGAAGTTCTTTACTGTAGTGATGGTTGGATACTGGCACAGGCTACCCATAAGAAGCAGTGGATGCCCCATCCCTGGTAGTGCTCAAGGCCAGGCTGGATGGGGCTTGAAGCAACCTGGTCTGGTGGAAGGTGCCCCTGCCAGTGGCAGGGAGGTTGGAACTAAATGATCTTTAAAGTCCCTTCCAACTAAAACCTGATTATGTGATTCTATTTAGCATAACAATTTAAGTATGAAATGTGGACAGATGTCACAGGCTGCACATACCGAGCAGAACGAGGGAAGGTGCTCACTGAAAATGTCTTCTTTTTGCAGCAAAGCCTGTACAGCTAGTGAGGAGGTTTTCTGTGACATCACAGTGGGCTAACCATGTAGGATGCAAATTGGCACACAGATAAGCATCCTTAATTACTACTTACCTTGTACATGTCATATTTTGTGAAATGGTAGGTAAAATGTATCATCCTAGCTAAGCTAGAAGAATACTATGAGTTGTTAGCACAGAGATTTTAATACTCAACTAATTAAAAAAAGTCATCTCTCAGTCCTAGGGGATTAGATTGCTTTTTTTTTTATGGAGGCTCGAGGTATCACACCATTTTCAGATGATGTAATTTACCTGACCTATTTGGTGACTCCATATTAATGTTTCTTTGTGATGGATTTACAATATAGCTTCATTAT